TGAAATATATAGTAATGGAAAGTATGGTGAACATGATAAATTTTGAATTCTAGTTTACAACTCAAATGCATATTTTGAGGTCTCTTGAGTTCAAATAAGCATGTTTCTCAAAATGATCTGGGTATTGTGTAGCTTTTTTTATTGTTATTTTTTTTTAATTTGCGCGTATAGAAAAAATCTTCCATAAGACGAAAAGCAACAACAAAAAAATATACAACAGTGTGAGATTCCTGCTCCCAATTCTCCTTTACCACTCCACGGAATTGCTGCCAAGCATTACTTCGCGAGGGGTAGAAGGTCTATGTACCTACTCCTTCTCTGGACATCTTATAATAGCTAAGCCATTGCCTGGCCTCTCCTTCCTTGCTCCTGCGCCCTGAATCTTTTGCAGATTGGTACTACATAGTCTTCTGCAGAATCCCAATTCTCTTGCCTAAATATCACCAAACTACTAAGTTCTCCGGGACGGGCTTCTTTACAAATTGCATGTCTAGCTTATTTTTTTCTAGAACAAAATCTGGACAACAAACAATTCCAATGTTTCATCCATTGGACCATAAGTTGTGCACGATGGTCTATCCTCTAGTTTGACGCGGACTAAATGGACCGTGAAGCGACCATGACCTGTTACCAATTGGGTGACATACCAATCTACCTCATAGGCGCAAATTACGGGCGGGCGATTTATTTTTAAATATACAATATTATATTTGCTCGTTTCAAAACAATTATGTTTTGAACGAGTTGAAACATGTGTTGAATTTCTACACATGGTGAAAACTACTACCATTTTTTTCCTCCTTCGCCTTCCCCTCCCCAATCGAAATGGAGAAAGTCTGCGTCTACCTCCCCATGTTTCTTGAATATCGGAAATCCAGATGTGTTTGTGCAGCGCTCATGTGTGTGCATATGTTTTGCATTAATCATTTGTATATTACAAATTATAATAAAACTTTATATTATATTTCAGATATCATTTTTCGATTCTGACGTACTTGGCCTCGACTCCTTGAAAAGGACCGACAACTGCACCCTTGAGGTCGTTGGTAACAATTACACGTTCGAGTACCATTACGGCTTAGGTTTCTTCCAACAATCCTTCCGTTCCTTGAAGTTTAACGGCCAAGAGATGTCAGCAAGCTACAGGATCGGGGACAATTCCATGCACCTCAACTATACCGTTCACAACATCGGCGAAAAGCCTGGTCGCTGCTTCGTCACCGTGCACGACATGTCCTTCGAGAGGTTGGCCAAGGTAGATTTCCATGCTTCTAGGCCTGAATACGATGGAATATACCTCGAAGATTTCTTTGATGAGATAATTCCATGGTTGAACAAAAAGATCAATAAGCAATCAGTTGAAGAACTTTGGGCAGAATGGTTGTGCAAACAACCACATCTATTTTCTGAAAACACGTCATTAATTCATCAGACTATTTTAGAACAAATTGGATTCCCATCTCAGCAGTAAACGAATTCATGAATTACTTGTAAAGAAGTACATGTAAAGCGTGTAATAATTATTTGAAAAATAAATATAATCATATAATTTCTTTTTGTCATTAAACATTATACCATTCCTCTATTTATCTACTTTTGTAAATTAACAACGTCACACAATTATTATATTATTGTTGATTGGCATTTATATCGATTAATGTATCATATAAATTATGTCCAATTTTATATCTGAAAATCACTTACAAGTTATTTTTGAAATGATATATTCTAAATGACTTTATAAAGACTGACAAGACTAATTTATATTTGTTATTAGAACAGAGAATATTAAAATATTAACAGAAATATATACAGTAGAAATGTATATATAAATTATATTCAATTTTTTATACAAAGTGTTTCAGCGTTAAGTGGCCAAACTGAAAATATGAATTAAGGCCCTCAAAACAAGAAAAAAAAATCCTATAAAGAAATGTCCGCAAACGCTTTGTTTAGGAGATATTCACACCTAAAAATTTTTATTGAAATGAATTATTTACGTTATATTAAGTAAATAAAACTTATTCATTTGTTCCAACTACATTAGTAATTAAACATAAACATTAAATTCATATTAAATGTTGTTCAAAGCGATTTCCTTGCGCATTCAACACAGGCTCGACATCTTTCTTCAACATCAGCAGCGGCAGAACGGCACTGGATATGTGTTATTGTTACACAAGATTCGATTATCCTTCTTCGTACATAATTATGTTCATTGACCGGACTTGGATAGACTTTTTGTTTAATGTCACCCAAATAAAAAAATCCAGTGGTGTCAGGTCTGGAGAGCGTGCAGGCCAAGCCACTGGTCCTGCACTTCCACTCCACTGATTGGAATAATTAACATTTAGCCACTGTCGTGGACCTCTTCCGTAATGAGCAGGACAACCATCTAATTGAAGCGACATGTCTATTCTCAGTTGTAGTGGAATATGTTCAACTAAATCATAGTAATCATTATTATGAAATTCCAAAAATGTGGCCGCATTGAGCCGATCTGGCAAGAAATGCGGGCTTATTAAAATATTGTCTATTATCCCCAACCACACATTACACTGAAAATGATGCTCACGAATTGCATGGGGATTTTCCTGCAGCCAGAGATGATTATTTTTCTGATTGAAGATACCTCTTCTTGTAAAGGCAGCTTCATCTGTCCAGAGAATTTTTCCTGAAAATTGTGGATTATGCTCAACTTGATTTAAGTACCAATCTGAAAAATTTTTCTTTGCGGAAAATCTTGCGGTAATAAATGTTGTACCCGTTAATAATGATATGGGTGAAGTCCATCTGCAATGAGGGTTCTCAATAATGTATTTGGCGTAATATTTAACTCTAATCCATCTCTTCGTACACTGCCAGATGGGTCATCATCATCAAAATATTGTAATATGGTCACACTCCTTTCTTCATTTCGTAAAGGGGCAAAAATACCATCATCACGTGGTATTAAAGCAAATGTATCAGTTTCTCTATGAAGTTGAAACGTGGAGCTAAAGATAGAATTGTTTGGCAATCTTCTATTCGGAAATCGCCTGGCGATATTCACGACGGGCAGCATTACTATTACCATTGCAAAAACTGTATACAAACACCATATCGGCATATTCACCATTAGTATAAATGGAAGGCATAATGATGAGCACTCTGCAAAAGCTTCTAACAAACTGATAAATATTATTGAGAGTTCCCAATGCTAATTCCAAATAGTATTAATCCTTATGTTGCCTATATTTTTATACAGTTAAGGATAAAAGGCCATATTAGTATTTTATCTAATCCATCTCCTAAACAAAGCATTTGCGGACATACCTTCTCTTTGAACAACATATGAATGTTAATGTTTACATTTAATTAATAAAGTAGTTAGGACAAATAATTAGGTTTTATTTATTTCATATAACTTAAATAATTCATAACCACGAAAATCTTTAGGTGTGAATATCTCCTAAACAAAGCGTTTCCGGACATACCTTCAGAGATTTTTTTTTTTTGTTTTAAGGTCCTTAATTCATTTTTGCAGTTTGGCCACTCAACTTTGAATATGGACTTAATTCCATCGATGGATTCACTTCATTAATTCAATCCAATAGCGATGGCAGGCGATTTATTTATGAACGACCTGATAGGATCTAGCGGAAGGTTAACTAAACACATGGGGAAAAAATGCATATATAAAGAAATACTTACAAACTGAATTGTTGAATATCAAAAAAGATATAATAAATAGAGCGAGTTCGTAAACTCAACGCTCAGCTCGTTTACAGCATCGTTGTGCTCAGTTTAGTTCACCGTAGAGCTACTCCCAGAATCTTAACTGAATATAAAGATATAAAGAAAATTGAGATATGACAACATTGCGGTTTCATCCAGCGAATCCATCGACCTCTTTCTCTGGAAGAAAAAGAAATAAAACAATATTCAAATGATCCTCAGAATCATATTAAAAAAAAAAGAAGGCAATGCAGTCACAGCAACAATCATGTTTTTAGATTTATTTTTTAAATATTTTTTCTTACTTACACTCGGTAGTTGTACATACTTTATTATTTAAAAAGACAACGAATTGTGATTATATTATTATTTACCTTATATCAATTGCAAAAACAAATATGGACCAATAAAAAAAATATTATTTTTCTATTTGGGGGAGGCTTCAGTCCGAAAGCTTTCCCTCTAGATCCGCCTGATAAAAACCCCCCTTTATCACTCCCAAGCACACTATTTCTTCCCCTACATACTAAGAAAAAAAAGTTCAGCGGTTTAAATTCAATATAACCAATTAATTTTTTGACTTTAAATTGACAATTGAGTCTGATTAAATAAAAGCTTTATTAAATGAAGTTGTTCCACGTATTTATTATTATTCCTTCGGAATTATTTAATGATATTCGCTAAAATACTAAGTATATTGATGATAAGAATTAATAAAATTCTTAAAAGTTCACATTGTTGATTTACATTAAGGATTAGAGTAGAATAACAAGGTGGAAATAAAGGATAAAATTTAATTTAATCTTTTATATACAATATTTATTAATTATAGTAATTCTTTATTGTAATATACATCAAAGAATACGATTTTTATACCAAAACTGGTGTGCCAGTATGAGATTTATTATCTACATAAATTTTTCCGCATAATTTCATATTTTTACACTTAGCTTCGCATTGAAATATAGAACGCAAGAAAAACATTACAACTATACAATTGTTAATAAAGTAATTATATCATATATAAAATAAATGTCAGAATAAATTATTTGAAATACCTCGTCACTAATGCGTTTTAATACTTCCAACTTTTGACGTTATAATTTCAAGTTTATCCTATGTTAACTTTTTTGTTGATTACTGTTTTTTTATTTTAAACAGGTGGTTTCTTTCGTTTATCAAAATTTTGAAAATAATAAATTATTGCGTTTATTTTCTCTCGTCTTTTCAAGAGAAAGCAAAAAATATTGTTGTATGCACCCGCCAAATGCTTCACGATTGCTTCAGAATTGTTTGCTCAGGGTTCAACTGTCAGGTTAGATTCAGATATGGCTGAAAGTTCAAGTTCTGAAGTTAAAGATGTTTCTGATGACAATACATTGACTCTTGTTGATTTTTTGGAAGAAGAATTGCAGTTAGAAAGTGATGCTAATGCAGTCCTGGGACCATCAGATGACAAAAACTGTACTTATAACAGGGTAAGAATTATCTATCAGTTTTTAATTTATCACTGTTACTTCATATTTTTCTTAAAGAATATTATTTGCATTAATTTGAGATCTATATATGATTTTAATCAACATTTATTCTTGTTAATCATACATTGCCTTTATCTTTCACTCATTCAACTGACATATGATTTGTGTTATTTTAGAAATAGCACAATGAAATCTTGTGTTATATTAAATCCCTGTGATAGAATATATATATTTCTTAGATATCCATTATTTTATTTGCCTGTGGTTTGTCGTGGTTAAAAATTTGAAGTATGGTTACTGCTTATCTTTTTTACAAAGTTATCATATTTTTGCTTAACCGAACACGAAGTGTCGTCCGTATTATTATTTCTGTTTATGTATTTTTCATTTTATGGTAAATCACAATATGTGGCAATAGGGGTACCTGCAGAGACAGGCTTTGTATGCTTGTATGACATGCACACCTCAAGATTCGCCTTCATCAAAGCCTGCGGGGATTTGCCTCGCTTGTAGTTATCATTGCCATGAAGATCACGAATTAGTTGAACTTTATACTAAAAGGTAAGTATAAACTTTTTGCACTCTTTCATAACCTTATTACACAATTTTATCTCTCCTGCTTTCTTTATCATTGATGTATTATTTCACTTTTGATTTGTTTATTGCATATTGATTCTGAATAATCAATTTTGTTCAACATTATCTTATCATTTATTTCATTGATAGTTTCACTGAATTAGTTAACTGTTTAATTCAAAACTATCTCGAAGGACTAGTAAATATATCCTGTTATAATTCACTGATATAACTTAATTAAATTATCTAGTCTGTCTTACTTATTAATTGATAGTATAATGAAGTCGAATCGTGTAACTCTGAAGCTCCTATTGAGTAGTAATATTATCACCTATGCCTGGTCTGCGCAACCTAAACATCTTCATGGGGCAAGTGTAAATTAATTTATTCACATATTCTATTCAACACAGACAATTGGTGAAGCAAACTACGGCTGTTAAAGTAACCATTTACCTAATAAGTGATGAGCTTGTCTCTATGCAAAATATTCCTCCAGTTTAATGGTTAGATATTAAAGGCAGCTATCTGTGAACTTAAAATAATCTATTATTGTAATGTATCCATTCCTATATGTTTAGTGAAAAAGAGCCATGGTTTCTAGTTTTCTACTTAGTTTCTATAAGCTATATCTGGATTTTTTTTTAATTTTTAAAATTGTTCGTTCTATATCATCCGAAGTACCCAAGGGATCTTTTATTTTTTCTTTGGAATACAAGTATTTTATTTTGAAAGATGTACGCTACTTCTTTGTTCCTATTCTTCCTGATTTTTTCTTGAGTAGAATACTTGAGCTTACCTGAGATGAATCTCTTGTTCATATAACAGAACAAAGTTTCCCAGGATTCAGCGATTTCTTTGTCTGTATTGTTGTGGTAGATCACGTTCTGTGACTGTGAAAGTGAAATAGATAGTAAAACAAGTATATTTCAGACACTGATATTGTATTGCGGAGATAGATCGTGTTCTGTGTGTCCAAAGTTTTTAATGTCATCAAGTGTTCACAGCATAAGCAAGTATTTGTTTAAAAGCACTAAAATGATATGTCAAAATATTTTTGTATGTATCATAACTAATCTCGTCAACAATCTTATGTTTCGGTTTAATAAGTTCTGTTACTTATAAATGTTAAAGTAGCATTTTTTTTATTTATAGCATTTCGTGTGATACTGAATTTATGAGGATAAAATAAATATTTTCATTTCTCAAATAGTTTATTAATTATTGACTATCCTATTGGGGATATCTATATCTACACTAAAAGTTAGTTTGGGGCATATTTAAAGAATTTTTTTTTTATAAAGAATAATATCCTAATTGAATAATATCCAAAGAATTGTTTAGCATGCTAAATCTTACTTTTCAAATTATTTTAGTAAGTTTTTTTTTCAGATTCTTCCGATGTGATTGTGGCAATAGTAGGTTTAATGGCAAAAAATGTAATTTGGAACCTGTAAGTATTTTCGTTTCTAATGTATTAATAAATAGTGTATTATATAAGATAGCATTCTATTTGCTATGCAATGAGAAAAATAAGTTACATAACCTTATATATGGTGTCTTCAAGGATCGATAAGCCCTTATAATTTTACTAGTTATTTAAGTTGTAACAATGTTTCAAGTTACTTTTGCTCATTTTAAAGTCATCAAAATACAAACAAAAATTCTTTAAATTCCAATACGTATCTATTATATAATTTTATTATACTTATTTTTAGTCCACAAATATCAAAAACCAACATTCTTCATCACATTTTATTTGATGCATGTCAGTTCCCAAAACTCGGTACAATCTCTTTTTATTGCTTTATATGGCTTATCGATCCTTTAAGACACCATATATAAGTACATCAAGTGCACTTGATAAACATACTACTGGAAGTTACATAACATTTTTTTTTATCATTATTTCTTATATATCTGTAAAAGGTTAAGTTATATCTTAAAACAAAAAAGTAAATTTATATTCGATCTTTTTTTTATTATTTTTTTTTTCCCTACGCCTAACTGCTTGATCAATTCGATCATAAAGTAATGTGTTTTTTCTAAAAGACGTTTTAAGATTGATATGGACAGATCCAAAGGATTGTTCTTAAAAGTTCTATATTTAGCTGGTTGATACAGTATTTTGCAGGCTAGCCCTACTGGTTATTTTTAATAGTAACCTGTTATTTTATGTTAATAAAGACACATGATTTCAAAAGCTTTAATTATAATTAACCTAATTCACATTTTCTTTAAAAGGTTATGCACGTGGCCATAACTCTTAGATATTATATCTTTTCCGTGGTGTCTTCTCTTATAGATATTAGTATCATATTTCTGGCTGGAATATAACCTAAAGGAGTTCATTATGCTAACTAAATGAATCTGTTAACTGATGTTTATATAGTAGAAGATTAACATATTTATTCAATTATAACTGATACTTTCTATAATAGATCCTTTTCCTCTTTAAAAATACCTGGCGGGACTAATCTGCAAAAGACCCGACTGTTATTATATTGATCTATTACTTTTGAATATAACTACCACAGGTTATAAAACAGAATGTGTTTCTTCCTGTTAGATTGTAGTTACTTCCAAAACCCATTTCAATCCAAATGTGCCACTTATTTAAAAGTAGAATATTACGAGTAAAATTAATGATTAACGCTATTGTGGTATTTAATGCTCACTTTACTCCACAGAATAAGACTGAAGAAAATGAAAAGAATGTTTATAATCAGAATTTTCGAGGACTATATTGTTTTTGTTCACGACCTTATCCAGATCCTGAAGATGATGTATCTGATGAAATGCTTCAGTGCATTATCTGTGAAGATTGGTATCATACAAGGGTAAATATTAAATATTCTTATTTAATGAGCTGGAGTTATTTTTATTGTTTATCTATTCTAGTAGGTTATTTGCCATCAAGGTTTTCACAGGTTTCTTTTGAAAATATATTAGTCAAAGCGGGATGCTAATAGAAATGCTACACTAAAAACATCGACCAGAATCTATACTGATGATTCTGCATAGAATTTCCCAACAGCAGGCAATTGAGAAAGCGATTGCAATGGGGTCCAACTCAACAAACTGTAGAGCCGAGCAACACTCAACATTGGAGGCAGTCAGAATTCTAACAGACCAAGAGAGGCCCCATAAATAAAAAAATTGTTTTTCTAACTGATACTTGAAGTGGAAAGCGGAGCTGTCATCGCTTTTCACTGAGTTGAAATGTCTCGCAGCTATAAGTCATCCTACTGTGGATCCCTTAGAATGGTGGAATAACTGCAAGTGAATTAGCTAATAAACTTGCATAAGAAGGTTCCAAATCACCTCCATATCTCGACTTGAGGAAGCTATAACGATAAATAAAGCATTGATTCAGCAGAGGTGGAACAATCAGTATTCACATTTCATACTCAAAAATCTATACTACTCGCTTTCAAGGAAGGAACAAGTTTTAATTTTCCGATTTTGAACTGGGCATAGCTCTGGCTTAACTCGCACCTCTACAAAAAATTTTGAATTGGTTCAACTTTATGTGAATGTGAAAGAAATAACCAAAGAGTCAAACACATTCTCCAAACATGTACCTAATGGAGAAACAACGGAAGCAGATATAGCCTGAATCAACTGATTTGGGGAACAAGCTGTATGGCAACCTGGAGGATCTTCAATACTGCCTATTTTGTACTGTCGTTCCCTGACTTAGCCATTTGAATGGGGAGAAGTACACATTAGTTCTAAAATACTTCAGCTAAGATATGTATATTTTGATGTTTTATTATTTTAGCTGGTATTTTGTTACATATCAAGAGAAATTTTAATAAATCTGTTTTAAGTGTTAGGTATATGTTTTGTGTTTTAATTACGTTTGAGATGAAACGTTACATAATGGTAAATAAGCATAATAAATAACTTAATCTGTTTGTTTTTACTTTATTATGGCTTTTATGATTTCATTAGTTTCCTAAAGACCATACCTGGCCAACTTTCAACTTGAAGACCATACCCAACCAATTTAATATTACAATTAAAACTATTGTTTTTCATTGTTTGTCAAAAAGAAGTATTAAATAAACAAAACTTTGCCTGTATCAGTCGTTATGATGTTCAAACACGACTCAAGACTCCTGTTTTTTATGTGATATCCAGAAATACCAGATTTTATTGAAAGAATAGAAAAAAACTAGTGAAAGTTCCATAAACAAATATTTTATTAATCAATACTCGTTAAGTTATTTCTATTATATTTTACCACACACACTGTCATTTTTGCAATTATTTAAATTCAGTGTTTTTCTAATTAATTTTATATATAAATCTTCACTTGAACTCGTTATTCTTATCATAATATAAAGATATAGTGCATATATTTTGGCTCCTTAATGCAAAATTTCCGTTTATATTCCAGAAAATTTAGGTTTGAAATTTTGAGTTTTAGGTTTTCAATGTTGTTCAAAAAAAAAAAAATGTATTTTATAGCGGTAAACTTATATAATTTATCTGAATTATCTATATGTATATTCATTGTTAAGAAGTATTATTTGCAATATAATTATAAAATTTTAAATGCCAGTGGTAAAAAACAAATGTTATTTCGTTGACAGCATTTAAAAAGTCAAGTTCCGCCAGAAACAAACTACGCCGAGTTAATTTGTGGATCATGTATGGACAAATTACCATTCTTGAATCACTATCTTGGATTGGCAGGTATTATAATTATTTTCGATTTTTTATTCAAATTGTTTCAAGACTTATATTATTTTTTATTTCCATATCAGTATACTGAATTTAAAATATCTTTTATTTACTTATCAATATATTATTATTTTATTTTTTATTTTTTTTGCAGTTTCCCCTACTTCGAATAATTCTAAAGACAATAAAGAAGACATTAATATAGAAGTAGATGCATCAGAAGTAAGTATTGCAGATAATAGGGTTATTCATTCAACCAGTTCTAAGTATTGTAAACTTCTTAAATGTGTTAAAGTCGAGAAACTTACTTAGTATCAATGTGTTAAATATTGCCGCTAGCACATCTGTTGTGTACTATGTTTGTTATAAGTAGAATGGAATGTAATAAAAGATGAAGGAGGAATCCAAAAAACGTTGGACTGAAGAGGATAATAATCTGTTCACATAGTTACGGAAAACCTGATGAAATTCGAAGTGAATAATTTTTTTTTTTTAATCTCCTTACAAATTTATCCTTATTTATTTTCTTAAACAGTGTTCAAATAAAAAAAATATTAAAATCAACCAGGGAAACCCAAGTTATTACATGCGGAATTTTGTTTCAATTTATGGTAGCTAATAAAACTTTAGTAGAATAGCACATGTGATCATTAACTCAAGATTTATACAATTTTTTTACCACCATAACATGTTTATGAGCATTTATCACAAGTTTTGTGAATACTCTATCATATTTAAACTGTTCATAAATTTTACATTATGGTTTTAATTTGTCACGAATCTTAACAGATTTTATTTAGCATGCTAAGCGACAAGTGTGCGCATGAAAAATAAAAGTTGAAAAAATAAAACAAATCAAATTCTGATTTCCTCTGGTGAACTATATGGTATATAACCTGCCCTCTTGTTATATAACCTCTTGTATTTGTTTCTAAATTATTTATTTTTGAGTTGTCATTGAAATGAACGGTTACTTTATTTATTTTTGAGCCACATCTTTTGTTTTAGGGGACTTCTAGTTCAAATGTTCTCTCAGACAATAAAAGTAAGCTTTTGACTTTTTAAAGAAAAATAATTTTAACTTTTATAGAACTAAATTTTGTATTCTTATTTTTTTTGTTTTTGTTTTTTTAGCTACAGAAGAGCCAATGAAAATAGACACACAAGAAAAGACTTCAGATGAAGAGAAGAGACCCTCGTTAGAAGGCAAAGAATGTTCTCAGAATGAGGTATCTTTTGACATTGGTATTTCCGTTACAATTAATTATATGATTATATTAGTAGTAACAAATTTTTATTTTATAAAGTTTCATTGTCATTTCCAAAAAATATACACACGATGCCTCGGTTCTTAATGGCTATACTTTGGTATGTGATTCTAGACAAAACTTCCAACAAAAAAGTTCATTTGATGCATAAGCCGATTCTGAACAGACAAGGATTTAAGACCTATTTTGTGTTATTTTTTTTAAGGCAGTCATGTTTTTTATTGAATAAGAAGAAATCTTCTTTATATACTATTGAAGGATGCCCACAGGCCATAGTTTAGAGACCCCTGTCATAGACTATAATAAATAATAAATTTTAAAGTATGTTTTTGGGAGCCAAAAAAGTGATCAATACTACCGTATTTTATTCTTAGTAGATTTTAATTTTTACGGAAGTCAAAATCTAAATTGCAATATATAAGAACTGTCATGCACTAATATTCATCTGTTGATTTATTTCAGATGGCTGTGATAAATAGTATTCCGTCTAATGAAATGAATAGTGTAGTTACCCCAGTTTCAAAAGGTTATTATTAGTAATTAATTGTTTTATTTTATATCTTTGAAAAATAATTTGGCTATAGAAGTAATTGTGCCTGTAAAATGTTTTCAGTAGACGAGTGTAAACTTGAAAATAGTAGGACTTTGGACAGGACAGAAGAAAGTGCAACTTTTTGGCCTTCAAATTTTCGTTCTGCACTGTGTTGTTGCACTAAGTGTCAGGTAATCCTAATTTTTAAGTACTTTTCGATTGTGCAGTTTAATTTGTAGATTTTGAATAAATTATTCATTTGTTTTATGTTCAGTTAATTAGGAAATTAAAAGCCAATAAGATATCAGACAAAAGGAGTGTTCATGCAACTAGTTTTTAATATTGTAAACCTCTTAAATGTGTTAATGCGTTTATAAGATTTGTATATTAAATATGGCCACCGGCACACTCGACTTAATAGAGTCTAGGGTTTGTTAAAATTGATGAGTTAATAAGTGAAAAAGGTTAGAATAGAACAGAAAATCATCTTTATTCTTGGACTAGGTCCCTTAAGAATAACAATATTGTTCATATAAATTAGCAATAAAACTGGCCAAAAGACCTATTATTACAATAAAGAATAACTAAAATACAAGTATTAAAATAAGTATATACGTAGCTCTTAACGAAAACAGTTGGGCCATTGGGTTGCAATACTGCAATATTGGAGCTAAAACAATAACATAATAATCACTAAATGGAATTAGAAAGGAACGCTAAATAAGTTTTATAGACAAAGTATTGTAGTGGTAGAATATAACAATTTTTAAAAAATAAATACTGTCATTAAATGATTATCATGAAGTTTTTATCTTCTGCCTACTGCTTTTGTTTTAAGTCAAATGGATAATAATAAAAAAAGATGCAGAAGTAATCCGCAAAAGTTTAAGCAAAAGAGGACAAAGCTCTTTGATTTTTTATAATGGAAAATCTGATAAAGTTTGAAGGAAAATTTTTTTTTTTGTGTTAATTCCTTATAAATCTATGGTTCCCACACTTCATGTATTAAAAAGTATTCAAATACAAAATAAATGAGCTCTTAAATATTAAAATGAATAAGTGAAACCAAATTTATGGCGTGTGGAGGTTTCAATTTACTATAGCTAATAACACTTCCACAGGTTAGCACAGATAGGTCCTTTGATCAAGATCTATGATAATGCTTTAAGCCCGTGGTGCAGACCCCTTTTTATCGAATTATTAACATCCGCCTGAAACTTCGTAAATAGTTTCATCTCGTTGACCATTATCATTTATCACAAGTTACATGAATTCTCCTATGAGTGTAATATATTTGCTGAAGTTCAAATAAATTCATCTTGCTTAATAACTAAGTCGTTTCATATTCTTAATGTAAATGAGGTCTGTTTTCTCCTTCTTTTTACTTATTTAAGAATTAATCTATAAAATTAGGAATTAAGACCTAAATAAAATTAACTATATGGTTATAAAATGAAATGAAATGAAAAAATAATTTTATTCTGGGACTACTGAATAATAACAGAGTTACAAATTTATGTATCTTAGTCTGACATAATAAAAATAACAACTAATTCACTGTTAATTGTTATTTCAATTGTGCAATGGATTGAAATTAAACATTGTATAGATGCAAGTAATTTTACATGTTAGGGGAAGTTTGAATGTGGAGAAGGTGTTGGAACAGAAGTTGTTTGAAGGAATTTGTGGACAAGGATTGACGCATGGAAGTAGGAAGTGAGTTCCATAAGGAAGCAGCACGAATGACGAAGGATTTGCTGAAGGAGGAAGTTTTATGGGAGGGAATATATAAGTCTATAGGTTGAGACCTAGTATTGAGAGAGTGGATAGAGGAGCGCAGAGTAAGGAGTTCCAGGATGTAGGGAGGGTTTTTGGTTCTGAAGACTTGGAAAAGGAAAACACCAAGGAGGAATTGTCGTCGGGAAGTAGGATAAAGCCACTTCAACTCGGTGTACCAGAGTGAAACATGTGAACGCCTGGAGATCCTGAAAATGTATCTTATGAAACAATTCTTGGGTCTCTTTAGTCTCATTTCCAGCTTGGCAGATAGCCCTCCATACACCAAACAGCCGTAGTCGAAGTGGGGGAATACAAGGAGCTGTCTGATTTTTAAAGGAATACAATCACGGAATCTTAAGAGTTGTTTAAGGGCAGTTATGGATTTTTGGGTAATCTGGGAGATATGGTTATTCCAGGAGAGGTTCTGGTCAAAGGTTGCTCCTTGGTTTTTGACTGTAGGGAAAAAATGGATGGGATGGTTATTGAGGTTAAGTAGAGGAAAGTAAGGAAGGGAGCTGATGAGATGTCTGGACCCGATGATAATAGCCTTGGTTTTATCTGCATTCAGCTTTAATTCATTTATTTCTGCCCATCTGTTGATGCAGTCGATGTCCTCTTGTAGCCTCCGGGCAGCCTCAGGCATCTCAGAAGGTTGGAATGATTGGTATATTTGGAAATCATCGGCATATAGGTGGTAACTTGAGTGTTGAGTGGCGTTAGAAAGGTCACTAATATAGATAGAGAAGGGTCGAAGGGAGTGAGGAACACGTTAATCGAAGGGATGATGATGGTGTTTATGTGAGTGGTATTAAAATAATAATATGTGTGAATTCAGTAATGTATAATTATTTATTTACTGATTAACTTCAGACTTCTGAACATTTCCTTAAAAAAAAAAAACTAATATAAAACCCGATTTGATTTTTTTTTTTTTTTTAATGAATAATTAATTTTTTCGTGTTCCCTTCACAGGATTTATATGCCAAGCACAATGTCCCTTGGATTACTGATGAAAAGGATACTGTCCAGTCTTATGAAGGAATAGGAAAAGAAACGCATAAAAATTCTCAGTACGAAGCCGGCTTGGAAGCTCTGGCAAGTCTTGACAGATTTCGACAAGTTGAGGCTATCCAAAGTAAGTACAACGTTGAGAAAACTATTAGTCATAATTGAAAAAAAACGTTCAATATTACTTATAATATTGATATATTTATATTACATGTTTGTTTTTTGTGTTTATCTTGAGTTGAAAAGAAAATATTTTGGAAAATACAGATTAAATTGAGAATAGATGCAGTTGACTATGAAACCAAATGCTGGTAATTCTTTTATAAAACACATAACTGATTGTTGTGCTGTTACTATTAACTTAGGGTTCATTTTATTTAAAATAATAACACTTATAGTTATTATAAAATTTGCCTTTCCTAATACTTTCCCAATTAACATTCTCTGGATTTTGTAAAAATTTAGAAAATCTTTTCAACATTAGTTAGTTAACTATTCATGTTTAAGTTAGGTTTTTGTAGAAATATTACAAACCAATCTTAAACTAAGGTTGATTTGTAATATTTCTCACTCAATTTTTTATGTATCTTGCCTTATAAATGACCGTTATTTTTTACTTTCACTTATCTATATATGCAATATATAGATAGTAAGCATAAGTATTGCGACAGTGAAAATTTTCGAATCTGAGTTTTCAACAGAAATACATATTTTGAGGTACCCTGAGTCCAAATAACCAAGTCCCAAATGACCTTTGTGGCCTGCGTGTATAAGTGAACAGTATCTCAAAAACGAAAATTCACACGAAACTGATATCATGTATTTAAGATAGGCGTATGCCTTGGATGTGACAGCAATTTTTTCGTCAAAATCGGCTAACCGGAAGTGCCACTTCATATCAACGCTGAAACACACTTTTACAATTTTCTCAAAAACGGCTCTAACGATTTTGAATAACACGGTGTATCATTGTATAATTAAGTGGTCTTTAATATCACTTAGGTCTTATTCCCGTTGATGTCACTTTACAGAGCTTAAATGCCCAATTCATGTTCTTGTATCTCTCCTCTATAAAGTACCTTTAATTTGGTTTATTATAAATAATAACTATTTATCATTGTTAGTAGTTATGGAAAAATGGTAAATATAACTTTTGGAATAATTTAATAAATAAATAAAGGAGAAAAAAAATAAAAATACTTATCCAGGTTGAAAATGAATATTCAGAAATAATAGTCAGAAGGTATACATATAATATATCGTTGGAAAGTGAAGAATTAAAAAAAAAAAAATATATATATATATAATATAGAAAGTTGTAGGAGATAACGGAGAGTGACGATAAAAATATAATTAATAATTTCTAAAAACTAACATTATTTAACATAAATCAGGTGTTTTTAAGAAAATTAAATGAAAATTTCTTACTAAATGTAAACTTTTAAATTTTTTTAAGTTTGAAAAAGTATTTAAAACCCACAGATTCAAGGCAATGACTTTGTTTAAGATACTATTTCATTACTATTCACACTTGTACTTGTGTGAAAGAAGAGGTGAAATATATAAATATTTCATGGATATGTTTATAACCTCAAATATATTTACTGTAGTTTAATAATTCTAGATCTGATATTATATTTAAGTAATTAGGTATCTATCATCTCTTTAATCCGAAAAATCATATAACCTTTTAGAAAATTGAATAATTTGATCAATTTTTCCTTTGCGATATTCCAATAGAATCCACTTACGATCAGTGTGACAACTTTTGACCTGTCTATGGCAGACAATGCAAATATTTTAATTCTGTTTCAGTAAACTTTGCAATGGAAAATAACAGTTTAATAACTAATAGTCGAACAATGCACAATCAGTCGATCGTGCAATCCATAATCAACCAGTGATAAAATAAATAGGACTTTTGTTGTTTTAATAGTATTTATGATTTGTTAGCTGCAATCTTTTAGCTTTAGCTCAGTTAAAAATGCAATCCAAAAATTTTATAATAGTCCAACATGGCCAGAAAATAATTTCTATTCAAAGTTGGGCGCACCAGATTTTTAATATTAGTTTACGATTTCTTTATAGATCCGGTTTGTAATTTGTCTTGATTAACTTGAATTCACTTTTGTACTATCTTTATATAAGTGATGATTTTATCTACCCATTTTTAAATGGGTATATTTTCAGAATATAGCATAGATGAAATGATATAATACTATTTATGTTTGTTTGAATATGGATGTACGTAATAATTTGTTTTTTTAAATAATAAAGAAAAATTGTTAGTTTTTCTTTATTATTTTGTTGTAGTTTTAATTGTTGTGTAATACTAATGGGGAAGAAACTATGTCAACCTCTTGAATCTTCTGCTCTCTCATTCAATGTTTTATTTAGATAAAAATAAATAATGATCTGTAAATAGTAAATATTTTTTCTTTTAAAAAAATATTATTTTAATTTTACATGTTTTATTTTTCTTGTTTTATTTTTCAGATTACAATGACTTGAAAAGTAATTTAAGTGACTTCCTCATAAAATTTGTCCGTCAGAAAAGAGTAGTAAAAAAGGAGGACATCGATGAATTTTTCACCGATATGCAAGCCAGGAAACGTCAAAAAGTTGGAACACCTCCCTACACATGCCACTAAATTAAGTTGTACTTTTTATAATATTGTACGTTGTGCAACTTTTGTGGAATGCAATATCTCTGAGATTTTTATTTGTTAAATCTTCTGTCTGACGTTAAAAGTTTTTCTTTTTTATTAATATAATTTTTTTTTTTTAATATGAAACCTGCCTCTCTAGGTTTCACTGCAAAAATCAAATTAAAATTAATAACTTTCTTAATGTTATAAGTGTATTTACAATAAATAATTTTTCAAACATTTTTTTTTTATTTGTTCAATACACAATTGCCTTCTAGCCTTTAGAGCTATGTGTCACTGCAAGAATCAAGTTTAAATTTTAAAACTTCTTAATGTTATAAATATATTTATCAATAAATAATTTTTCGAACTCGATTTTAGTTTGTTTTATTTAATTATTATTTATTTATTTATTTTTTTAATAAAAGGTTTTATACCATGAATGGTATATCAAGATTTTTTTCTCCAAAGCCCATATAAAGACATCCATGTATTTTGGTATTGAGTAAGTGGTAAAATGTGAGCCCATGCCAGTATAAACTACGCAATATAACAACACGATTTCCTTGACAAACTTGTACACTCCAAGCATCTGGAAATTAGTAAATTATTGAAAAAAAAAAAAGGTTTCAGTACTTGATTAATATTATATTATAACAAATTAGTGACATATTTGAAATGAGGTGTTCATATCCAAAATGAGCTAATAGTCCAGTCAATAAATGATTACAGAAGGAAATGGCGGGGACACTGTTTGGACTTGTAAGGAGGTAAACATACTTAAAATCTCCATTTCTAGGTGAGCCAGTTCTGGGGAAGGGTGGCCCCTAGAAGGTCACTTTTTTTGGGTTTTCACTTATATAAGAAAAATTATTCATCCCATCGACAAAGACATTCTATACAAAATTATAGCTGATAAAATTTGCACGGGATGACCGGTTTTTTACTTTGAAAATTTTACGAAACCGGCACCTTACCATTGTTCAAGCGATTCATCAGCTCGGAGAAGTTCGAGGTGTGCAAATTTCTGAACGTACCGCTTGGAGAAGATTAAATGAGTATGGATTAATGGTTTTTCGTCCAGTAAGAGGCCCAGGGTTGACCAGAACTCACAGAGTAACACGGCTGGCTTTTGCTTGAGCCAGAACACAGCCATTGGACAATGGGCGAATGGAGTGCTGTACTTTTTACAGATGAGTCAAGATTCGCTCTTCGATCTCCAGACAGGCGTGAAAGGGTGTGGAGAAGAAGAAACGAAAGATATGCAGCCTGTAATTTTTCCCAGAGCCCACCTTTCCAACATGGTTCCTAAATGGTGTGGGCTGGGATTTCAATGGAGCGCCGCAAAGAATTGGTTGTTGTTCGTGGAGGGTCTTGGACGGCCATTCGCTATGTAGATGAGATTTTGGAACCTCATGTGTTGCCTGTCCTCAACGAAATCGGCGATCGTTCTATTCTAATGACGCCCACATGTCGCCCGCATAGTGCAGACATTCCTTCAACAGAACAATATTGAGGTTTTAGCCTGGCCAGCACGTTCTCCAGATTTGAACCCCATTGAGCATTTATGGGATAACCTCGGAAGACGAATAAGAGCGCCGTGCAACCCTTCCTGATACACTGCAGGATCTTGAAAGGGCTCTTCGGGAGGAATGGGCTATCCTCCAGCAAAGGGACATTTCCCGACTGGTGGAAAGTATGCCGAGGCGTCTTCAAGAAGTAGTGAAGGCAAGAGGAGGAAACACGCGCCACGATGATGTAATTAATTTCTTTTAGAATAATAATGATTCGTTTTTCAATTTTTTTTTCTCTAATCTTTCCTACCCAATCACATTTTGATTATTAAAGGAAAAAAAGAGTATAAAATTCCATAAATACTAAGTATTATCTACAAATACAACTTTTTTTACAATTAGCAGAAATATTTTTAGATGAAAACATGAAAAAATCAACTGGGTGGAATTTTTTGCCTGTCAGTGTATATTATTTTACTATTTTATCTCTAACGGTCCCAAATTTAGGCCAATTATTACTTTTATAAGTTAACTCTCTACATCTAAACCTATATGTATAGGGAGTTGGAGTAACATAATTACGAATATTAAAAAAATTAACTTTTACTCTAAATTCTTGGAATCGACATATTAAGTTATAATTGATCAAACTTTTGAACCGTTAAAGATAAACTAGTAAAATAATATATATTCTTGAAGAAAATTTAATAATTAAATACTTTTTCTCTATGCCTCAATTGTAGAACGAAGCAATCAAGAATTAGCTAGTCAAATACAGCAAAGAGCATGAGGTAAAATAATTTTTTTTCCACATTATCAATAGTTGACAGATATCTCACTAAGAGAGAGAGAGAGAGAGAGTGAAAAAAGGTATATACTCAATCATATTGCAAATTTTATCAGCTTTAATTTTGTATAAAACATCGTCGTTGTCGATGTGATGGATAGTTTTCCTGATATAACCGAAAAACTGCAATGAACATGAGGCACAGCAACAATTTTTTTTTCATAATTAGCCATAGTTCAGGACAGATATCTCGGAAACTAAGTGAGGTAGCAAAAAAAGGTATATAATCAAGCATATTGCAAATGTTATCAGCTTTAATTTTGTATGGGCGTCTTTGTCGATGCGAAGAATAATTTTTCTGATATAAATGAGAACTCAAAACAAGTGACCTAGCTTTTCCCTCCCTCCTCCCCACTTCTAGCTTACCACATAGGAGTAGGTACTTTTAATATGGTTACTTCCTTACTAGTCCAAACAATGTCCCTAAGTCAAAAATTGTGTCTCCACCATTTTCTTCTATACTCACTTTTCGAGCATTCATTGACTGGACTATAGGTGCATGTTGGAAAATTTAACAGGACTATAAGGAAAATAAATTTATTTTGTGTTTTGAAATTGTAGAGAGTCGCCTGAAAATTATTTTGATATTTTCTTTTAGTATCTTTTCTGAAAACTTGGTACGGTCTCTTAGCTACTTCAACCGAGGGTAGGTCTATGGGGAGAGGGGCTTTCGGGATGAAGCTCCCCATCGCCCAAAATGGATAAAGCTTTTTTTTTTTTCATTGGTCCTTATTTATTACTGTGAATGATCTAAGCTAAATACTAAAACAATCACAATATATTTTATTTTTAAAATTATAATTGAGAGACTGATAACAAAACCCTCACTAGTCACAGAACTTGAAAATTTATTTAAGCCACCATTGTGTTGTATACAGCATTCCTCACATGGTTATGTAATCAAATCTATCAAGAACACACTTTATCAATAGTTATCAACCAATCAGATTGAACAAACCAAAGAAAATATGGTAATTCGTAATAAAAACAATAATTAAGAGAATATAGCACATCTCTAAGTTAAGTTTGAGTGTAGGGGAAGGAAGTTTTCACAGCTTTTCCAGATTCCACCACCCCAAGACCTCCCTCCAGCTCCACTTCTCTTCACAATCGCTACCATCATATACGCACAGATGTTTATTAAAGGTAAGGATTTTAATTAAAAAATAAAATAAAACAATGTAAAGAAGGATGGTTAAATAATCAAATTGTGAAAAAAATATATAAGAATTTACGAGGTCTACTGTTTACAACACTTGATGTTATTACAAGGATCTGTAGATATAAATTAACCAAGAAATAGATAGTAAAAAAAATCAAGAAATATATGAACAATATAGAATAGAAAAGAATCCGATACTACGTTATCGGATATTCAATAATGGGGAGGAGTCTTGTTCGTTTACTTATGAATGCAAACAAAGACAATTTTCCACATTATACAGTTGTATGTAAACAGCCAATCTTTCTGTGAATGAATGTAGTAAATAAGAAAAAAAATGATAAAAGAAATTTCTACTTGTAAACCAAAATTTCAAAGTATGTATGAATGAGTAGAGAGGGCAAAAGAGTGAGGAATAGATGGGAAATTATTTTGCCACTGCGCCTCTCTCTCGCCCTCTACCCATCCTTAAACTTATCTTAGATAGAGCCATTTTGTTAAGGATGTTTTAAAACTGGCAGAGTACCTTGAACATGCTGTTTTCTTGTGTTCCCTTGTATGTTATGTTAGGTATCTCATTTTTCCTTTTACATTTGTATCATTATCTTTTTACAGTTTCATTTATTTTGCTGTTTCCTCTATATTGTTTACAGACGTAATGAAACAATTACATATTTAGAAAAATAATTATTGGTATTTCAACAAATTATATTCTAATGGAAAATTCGGATTGTGATTTTTTTCTTTCCGACACTATGTGACTTTTTTTATTTCTCCTGACGTATATAATTTATAATAATAATGATTTATTTATTCTGGGACCAGTCCCTGTAGAATAATACAGAAAGACAAAAATGTGGGCTAAGGAGCCTCAGAGATAGATAAACAAAAATACAGAGTAAGTGAATAGTCGAAAATAAAAGAAATTATAAGTTACTTTCTAATTTAAATCAGTTAATAATAAAAATTGAAAATAAACAGGAAGTAAAAATAATGAAGAACGATCTAATAATTTATATACATATTTACAGTAGTAACTATTTACAATGTCATGGGGACTGGATGGATAAGAAATGATCGAACAGGCGGGTTTTAAACATAGGATGGGTTTTGGATTGACGGATGTCGGGAGGAATGGAGTTCCATAGGGATGAGGATTGGATAATGAATGATCTGTCGAAAGCAGCGGTTCAGTGGGCCCTTATGTATAAATCAGAAGATCAGGAACAAACAGAGGATTTGAATTGAAGGAGCTCGGAGATGTACGAAGGACGGTGGGATTGGATTACTTGAAAGAGAAAGGATGCCAGGAAATACTTACGATGGTAGGAAGGATAAAACCACTTCAATAGGGATAAAAACGGGAAACAGAGGCGTCCCTTGGGATCCCGAAGATGAATCGTACAAAGCAATTTATCAAACGTCTTAATTTTGCCTCGAGATCCCCAGAGACGCCCCCATATACCGTACAGCAATAGTCAAAGTGGGGAAAAATTAAGGAAGTTATTAGGATTTCAAGGGGAAATAGGTGACGGGAGTAATTTAGACGTTTTAAGGTGGGAAATGTTGGATATATGATTTTTCCAGGAAAGCGTTTGATCAAAGATCATTCCAAGGTTTTTGATGGAAGGATAGAATTTGATGGAATTATCATGTAGGAACAGTTTTAAGGAGGTGATTGGAGCCTATTAAGATTGCCTTCGTCTTTTCTGCATTCAAATGTTGATACGATGTGCATATATGCATATATGTGAAAATATGCAGTTATTTTTTTATTCTCATTAGTTGCCTCAGTTAAACTTTTGACATCAAATGGTGAAACTTGAACAACCTATTGCTTCAATATAAATTAATATATTAAATATATTTTTACCCATGATTAAATACAAATACAAAACATACGGTTTTTAGGAATATCTTCAGCTACTGTGTCCAAGAAGTCAGTGGCATAATTGTAATCAGGTCTTCTTCCGACATTAACTTCCCATCTTTCTCTTGGAATTCGGCAGTGCATATAGTTCGAGAGGATTGTTGCTTCTTCGAGTCTAAGACCTTTAAAGGCTGGATTAGGAACAACACGCCCTGAGGTTTGTTTAAGCAATGCGCCTCGCGGTACGACAAAAGCTTCCTGATTTATGAATCTTATTACTGCTGCCAGTCTGTCTTCTTCTTTCAATTTGTATTCTTCAACGATCTCCTACAACATTTATAGTGATTATAGTTAAGCGTGGTAAGGTATGAATCAGAACCATTAAAAGCAGTAAGTTCAAGATGTCTATTATTTTTGACTTCTGAGCAAAGTATGTACATATTTTAATTTGATTTGTGGCAATTACTTACCATATTTATTTTATAATGAACATTAGTCTTTAAAAATATGAATAAAAACAAATGAGTAATTATTTCTACCTTAAATCCTATCATTTGAAAAATGTAACTAAAGATGCACATGACGATGAATGAGAAGTATAAACAAGAATTTATCAACAGATATCTTTTCAAGCCTCTTTTAAAACTCATTGTTGAAGAAACAAAATGGTACCAATAATGCAGCTTAATGGTAACCAAATTAACAAACAGAGCTATCTATGGACAAATGATTAAAGTTTCTTGTTTACACACCTGGTACATGCACAAATTTGAAAAATATGAATTTAATTAGGGTAAAAGCACCATCAGACACATGCTTCATAAAAAATAGGAATAATAAGATTTTAGGACCTCCCACAACTTCATAAATCTTTCTTATTTACTTTCTTATAATAATTAACAATTCTCCCAAAATTGCCTAAGTTTTTGGTTTCTTTACTTTCCCCTTCTATATTTGCTTTGCTTTAGTCATACCGGAAACCATAAATGAAATGAAGAGTGGCAAATTATGAAGGTTTTTCATGAAGGTCATTTAGTGTTCTTGGAACAACCATCTATCAGTAAAAGCACCATACCTCATGTTTAACTTTTTCTCTTTAACTACTTTGATTTATCTCAAAATTTTTGTTTTATATTTTCATTGAATGTTCTTAGATTACTTTTTATCTTTTTTCAAAAACTTAGTTTGATTAAAGAATTGTAAATTTAAAGGGTGTCACCTAATTGAGACTTATAATGAGGCCATTCGCCAGTAACTGACAGATCTGTACTCTCTTAAATTCAGAGAGATATACATTAAGTACCCTCTCATTAAAAAAAAAATTGCAAGTGATTTGGATTAAATATAAAGCAAAAATAGGCACTTTACAGGGACCAGCATTTATCAAAAATTGAAGTCAAACGAAATAAAGTTAGTTTTATGATAGGTTAAAGGTAATTTTTGATAATATCTATTTTAAAATAGAGAATATAAAATTTATTTCAAATTATTACATCCTTGTTCTCATCCCTCTCATATATAATAACATTCCAAATCACTAGCGGATCAAGGATTTAATTTTGGGGGGAGTGCTTCAGCCCGAAAGATTTTTTTTTTTCATATACATATAACAATAATTAATTTTTAAAAAAAAGAAAGAAATTAACTACCTATATGAAATGGTGTTTAAGTGGTTCTTGAAGTCCTATTAAATGTAATTAAACGAACAAGAATACTTTAAGAGATAGTTTTTAATATTTTTTTCTGTAAAACATGGTTATATTTTACTATTTTGGGGGGGAGGCTTCAGCCCGAAAGCTCTCCCCCCCTGTAAATTTGTCTGTGTTCCAAATCAAACTGTCAGTTACTGGTGCTGCAAAACTTTCTAAATTTACAATTTTTTTAAATATTCATGGATTTGAAATGTGCTTGGATAATGCGAGAAGTAGCCCTATAAGATGAATACAGGAAAAATACAAATAAAATTTTTATTTTAATTTTTAAACCTAAAAATTCAAAGAAATTCCCTTAAGCTGGTGCATTTACCCTAAATTAATTTTGAAAAATGTTTGGGTAAATAATTAAAAAAAGGCTTACTTATCTTTACATACAAATCCAGTTATCTGTCATTATATAAGATTACTGAATATTATATATTGTAAAAGTTTCAAAATGTAATATAGAAAGACAACTTTATTCTGGTGCACAATTTCTACAAATAATAATAATATATATGACAGACCAGTGTTTAATGTTTTACCATTGCTCTTAGTGAATCTATTTTTTGCTCTTCAAGAATTTCTTCCTGTTCTTGTTCATCCAGTAGTTCATCATTCAATTTTTCATATGCTTTCTGTGAACGAGCCGGTTCTTCAGAAGGCTTCTCATCCAAAACTTCGACTACTGTAGAAGGATTGCCAAAAAATCTATTTGTAGAAATATGTGTCAGATAGTGTTTTCTTTCTTTTGGTTTGAGTATCGGTACGAGTACCCAAGTTATCGCATTTCGGCTGTAAGAATTATTATCAGTTAATTTATGTTAATGAATAGCATATTATGAGTTGTGAACTAGTAAGGTATTTTTGTTTTTCATCAATAAATCACCATAATAATCAAAGACAACATATAATTTCTATAAATCCAAATAATTAATCAGAAAACTACTAATTAGAAAAGATGTAACTTGTTTATAAACATATCGTTAAAGAAGGATGGATCTTTTGCTTGTTATTTTTGAATTATTTGATTAAACAACAAGATGTACATAATATCCCAAAAGTTTTTTTCATCTTCTATGACTGATGAAATGGGGAACGTTTCTGAGAAACAGACAAATAGATATCACAAGCAACAACTGAAGCTATTTCTATGTTAAAATATTAATTGTTTTAATTATATCATGGTTTTGTAAAAAGAAAAAATATTTTTGTTACTGAATAACATTTCATTTTAAAAAGAGATTGAGACTTTCCCTATAGAAAGTTTTTTTAAAAGAAAAATTGAAATAAAAACCAGCTTCCTTGTCTAAGCACTTAAGTATACTTTCTTTTTATAAATATTTTTGACCTATGAAGGGTTATGGGTTACATAAAATGTGAGGAAGTACTGTTACAAGGCCAACGGTTGTGTAGAGAGATGGATGGGCCAATATCACATTCAACCGCCAGGTTTTCCTCCTTAATTAATTATCTAATTAAGAGTACCCATTTTATAGAGGCTGGGTTTGCCACAGGAGACCCTCCCGGCCCCAGGGTCAACCCACAGCTAATGAAAAATTACCAGTCATCAGCCGGATTCGAACCTGGTCTCTTGAGCTCTAGAAGTCAGTGCTCACCCTTTGTATTTAATCATAATTATATTTATTAAATCTTAGAGCAAAAGGATCTTAGATAGTAATGGTAGCAACAATAAGATATGTGAGAAAAATTGATGAAACGTCAATCTTAAGCATAAGATGAAAATAACAGAAATTAATTTTATGTAACTATATAATAATATTTTATCAACTTCAGCAATCTTACTTTTATCATTTATCTTATATCTTTATAATTTGTTATAAAATGTATGTATCATTTGGTCACCAAAACTTAGTTTTATAAATATATTTTAAGAAGGATAGTATACAATAAAAAACGTCACACCTTATATTCAAGAAATAAAATGTTATAAATATTACTCCCATAATAATGAAAGTTGATAATAAGAAAGTAATTCACCGCATACACATTCTTTCTTAAAAATTGTATCTTATGCTTCTTAAATTTTAAGGATTGCAAACACCCATGAAATAACTTCAAAAATTCCAGTACTTAATATTCACTTATTAAAGCAAGCTATTTGTTATGCTTTTAACACAACTTTACGTATCAGCTTATACTTGTGAATTACCAGTAAATGGACTCCTATAAGTAATATCATGACAAATTTCACATGCAAGTAACCACATACTTGCAAACATAATAGCCACTTCCAACATGCCTGAAAAAAAAACCTAAAGTGGCTAAAAATGATGTAGATGAGGATTATATGACCCCAATTTTTTAAAATTATTATTGTATTGCTGATTTTGATAGGCAATATGCTGATTGCCTATTTCGATATTAGAAAGGTGTAAATGAAATTGTAATATGTTTATTCAATTTATCTATATAAGTTTATAATAACTAAACAGTAAGTTATTATAAATCATTCATGTGGAAGAAAATAGAATAATAGAACTGTTATTACAAAGGAAATCAAATGACAGAATATTAGGATCAAGTATTTAAAAAAAAAAGAGAGATGAAATGTGGCTCCAAGAGTCTCAGTATCTAATTAGAGTTGATCAGAAAAGGAAAATTTGTATGTTTTACCAGATTAATCTACAATAATAACCCTTTGATTTGCCAGTATTTAAAGAAACTGGGTTTTATCCAGCCCAAATGGTAACTAAATTAAATATGAAAACAAATAGAGATCAGAGATATCAAGGAGTCACCAGCAAGTTTTTACTTTATCATAAATATCTTTTATTTAGTTGAATTTAATCTTGTAAAAAACTAATTATGCCTACAAAAACTTAATCATATCTATTTTCTGTTTTTTTACTTTATTATTCATTAACTTAAATTGTTCACCATTTCAATTTTATGTTTTATTTGAATGTGCAATTATGTATCGTGTATCAAATCAAAAAATAAAATTTAAATAAGAATAATATTTTAATTACATGGATGTTAAGAACATAACTACTACTATGACTAACATACACATATTATTTGTGGATAATGGTACTTATACTGTTTTTATATACATTAGAAAAAAAAATTTATATATGCAGTCGTGGTCATAGAAATGGCATTAACTATTTCTTTTGATTCTTATGTTGATAACACCGATTCCATTGAATATTTTTGTTTATCTTTACTTATTAAAGTTACAAGAAAACTTTAACAATGTTTCTCAGTTCAGTTTTTACTAATGTCAGGTTCAGAAAAGAAAAACAAAACAGTTTTGTAAGTTTAAAATTAAAAAAATGACTCTGTATAAATGAAATTTAAAAAAAAAAAACTTAACATTCAGTGGAGATTTAGTCATATAAAGTCCCGTCCCTTTATTCACCTCTTGCCCTTTTCCTCTCCAAATAAAATTCAACATTTTGTAACAATATTTGAGGTAGCATATTTTTAAATAAATATATTTATCAGATTTTATTCATTATATTGACTAAATTTAGATCAAACGATCCAAAAAAGTGCCTCTTTGCCTCTCTCTAGTTCTGGCCCCATCAAAGGTAAATATTGACCTCTCATAAAAATTCAGATGTTCATGAAGGAGTGTTCCTCAAAATGTTAATCAGTATTTTAAATAAATAAATGTTGAAGCAGATAATAGATGTTAATTAATAATGGCAATAGATCCATTATTGCATAGATCCATTGCTTCATCTCTCATTTAGATGTGCTGTAAAATACTGGTAATAGTAGTGCAGTGACAATATACAAAAAATAATAATAATTTAAATAACTATTATTAATCTTCATGTTTAACTAGAGAAAGTGGAGATGTGTTGTTATCTATCATAAATCTTTACTATTCTTTGTAGAAGAATAAGAAGAAAATTAAAATTTGTTCTGAGACTAAGTCCTCTTAGAATAGCTACAATGTATAATTTGATGACTATTGTCTGGCATTAGGAATAAATTAAATTACATGATTGTCTAGATCTAAGCTTACAATAAAGAAAAGGCACTGTTAGATGTATAAAATCATAGATAAAGTCAGATATGCAAGTTCACATATTTGTACACATGAGCAATGTGGATGATATATAATAATCTGTCAGATAACATTAAATCGACTGACAGATCTGAAAAACATGAACATTATTTTACACATATTCAGAAGATTGATTACTGAGGAGACGGATAGATAAATTATGTTTAAATAAGGTCAAGGATGATGATTTGATGATGGAGGTTGGTAGGGAATTCTAAAACAAGGTAGCATGACAAATGGTTTTTTAAAGGAAACAGTTCTATGAGAAGGAATATACAGGTTTGAGGGCTGGGATCTCATGTTGAACGAATGGACAGAGGAACAAGGAGTAGTCAAATCAAGAATGTAAGAGGGTTTTTTGGTTGAAAAGGTTCGAAAAAGAAATACACCTAGGAAGTATTGCCATCAGAAGACTGGATAGAGCCACTTCACTCGGCATGCTAACTGGAGATGTGGGAGCGCCAGGGGACCCCAAAAATAAATCTAACGAAACAATTCATTAGTCTCTTTAATCTGATCTAAAGCCCACAAGGCAGCCATAATCAAAATGAGGGAAAATGAGTGAGGAAACTAGGAACTGACGGATTTTAAGGGGCATGGAATCACAGAATCTTAGGAACTGTTTGAGGGAAGTAGTGGATTTTCGGATTATTTGAGAAATATGATTATTCCAGGACAGATTCTGATCAAACATTACCCCAAGATTTCTAAAGAAGTGTGAAAATGGGTAGATAGGCCATCAACCTTGAGTAGGGGATAATAAGGAGTGAAATTAATTAGATGCTTGGAACCAATGAGAATGGCTTTGGTCTTCCCAACATCCAACTTTAAATCATTGCTCACTGCCCAAATATTGATACCACCAATGTCTTCTTGAAGCCTTTGGATTGCCTCAAGCATCTTTTGTAATAGGTCTAATACAAACTTTAAAAAATAAACACATTTTTTTAATAACTTAATTTTGTTTGTTCAGATATAATAGTGATATTCTTCATTTAATAACGCATTGTTGTAAAGTAGCAAAATATTTTTATATGATTCTATTTTATCAAATCTGGTCATTTTAGCTTTTAATATTATAAATATGAAAATATCGTTATTAAATGAATTGTTTACCTGTAATAAAACACTCTACTTCTTAAAGCATCTTTGTCATATCCGAAAGCTATGTAGTAGTCATCTTGGATACCATATATTTGACCCCAGAAGAAAACCTTCTTGAAATGATTCTCATTTTGAAGCACAACTAAAGAATTCATCAACAAATTGCACTTTTCTTGGTTTAATGTGAAACCAGAAGAAGCATATAAATCTAAACATCTAGGCAATTGCTCTACCTCCATTTTAGGCTTCCTTTTTACATTAAAATAAAAGTTTTATCATTAATCAGCTGAAAAGATTTACAAGTCACCTTGATTGTTTATCGCGTGCCTCGACAATTGTTAGTAAGTTAAGCTATAATTGCGAATTGAAATGTTAATAAAATATTTTGAAATTGAAATTGGGCGGGCTTTTTTAGAGTGTGACGTAGTAGTAAAGGAAGTCAGTCGCCATATTAATTTTCTCATCTGGTTCCATTTTCTAGAGATCAGTAATTCCGTCGTTGTCGTAGCAGGAGTTACCTCACTTGTGATAGTAACTTTAGGTATTAGTTTTTTTTTTCCGAATTTCACTAGGGTAAATTGTATGTGTTGTGAGTTAACAATTTGTTCTAAGAAGATGGAAATGTGACAATTTATTCGGTAAGTCTATAAAGAACTGAAACTGATTAAAAGTCCCATTTAATTTTGTTCAATACTGTCAAATCTCACTAGGTTTCTAGTGATTATCTTTTGTGAACAGGGCAAGTTATATCACAGTTTTTTCGTTAATTTTACTCGTTTTAACTATAATTTTGACGTAAACATCTTGTTGTTTTTCTCTATTATAAAAATGTAATCCTATTAATTTTATGTTATCGAAACTTGGGATATCTGTTTTGAATAGAAATCTATTTTAAGTTGAAGTGCTTGTTTGGCAAGATGGAAATTAAAATTTTGTTATCATTTTTTTCCGATTTAAGGGTTAAACAGTTAATAAACTTTTCTCCCTCATTATTAGTCGCAAATTCGTCATAAATTACTTTAATTTATATTTTTATTTTTTCTTTATTAATTAAAAAGTAGCTTTAAAGCCCCAAATATCCGTGGTTATTATGCCCTTTTTAAATTCATTATATTTTTTAGACTTCCTAGGATTAGTCCAGTTAAGCTCATACTTCTTTAGTATAAGTAGGTACTTATCAGAAGTTTAATTATCTTGTGCCTGATTTTTGCCAATTAATTTACCCACCTTACATTTATATTATTTTTCAGTTCATTTTTGTTTAATCTCTTTTGTGATTACAATTGTTACGTATAGACCAACTTTCTAAATAATTAAATTTTTATTTAACTTTATATCACATCAAAACTATGTTGTTTGAAGTTGTTTTGGAAATTTTAAATGATTGAATTGAAAATCTTATCACTATCAATTTAAAAATCATGATGGTATAAATAGTATCTCATATAAGTATGTACCTGCTTCCTTGTTTCTGAGCTGGCATAAATACCTTGCATTTATTTTCAGTCTTTTTTTTTCTCTTGATGAAATCTGAAGTAAATCGTTTTAATATGACATAGTAACCAACATCACAATGAGTATTAATTTAAAAACTTACGTAGTAATATAAGGGAATTTAAATTATTTTTGGATTATTATCTATCGTCAGTGTCATTGTTGTGTTATCCGTCAATTCTTGTTTCAGGCTGTTTTGGGAGCTTGGTTTCGAACTGAACGAGAGCCTTGCATTTCCAGAACCTAGTCATTTAAGGTACGGTTGCTAATTTTAATTATGTAGTAAAAACCAGATATATTGATTTTTATGATTTCTGACAAATTTAACTTAGTTTTCTTTGTTATATTTTATAGAACAGAAAAATAACATTAAATTTGTTCAGGAAATTAATTTTTTTTTTCGTTCAACAAAATTTAACAACTGGAGAAATTGATAGTTTAAAGAGTTTGATAATGTTATCACTTTGCAATCAAATATAGTTTTATTAGTAATCCTCTTCTACTTACGACCATGGAAGTTTAAGTTTGAATTTTTCCCAAACTAGGTCATCATTAATTGTTTTATTTTTTCTGAATATTTATTTCCATGCATGTTTCTGTTTACAGTTATCGCATTACCGCATCAAAATAATTATGTAGTAACTATAATTCAATTGATTGATCTATTTACTTGATGCTATAGTTTTGTTACATTGTTGCATTGTCCTTCATATTGGTCAATATCCGTCTTATTGATTATGTTGAGATTAATTAGTTATGTTGTATGCAGGTTTGTGTATTGAGGTTAACTCTACTTGACCTATTATTACATAAAAAAGAGAATAATTTTGTTTTTGTTTTCTACCACTTTTGCTTTTTTCTACTTATATTATATATTTAGTTATTAACCCCTTTGTTATCATCCTTAATTATTTATTTTTTAAAAGTATCTATTTGTCTCTTTGTTTATGTTTTGAGTTTTGATTCTGCCAAGCATTTATTTTGTTTGCTTCTGTCTGTTGGTATCTCTGCTAATTTCTGAAGGTGTTCAGCTATAGATAAGCTGATATGATTTCATACATTTTCATGAAGTTTTATTAGCTTGTGTTTCATTTATTATCTTAGTTATCTGGGAGCTACCTTAAAAGTAATATTACTTGTTCATTATATAACAAAATAGTGACATTCTGCTATACATATTTTATATTTTTTATTTTCAAGTGTTAATAAATATAATCCTGTATAAACCATGTTTTTGGATGATGGAGATTTAGTAACATGTTTTTATTTATCTTTAATAGTTTGTAGATTAACCATTGAAATTTCATCTTTTTTTTAATTTTAATAGTTGTCCTTGACCTTATTTACATTTTTATGTAGTTTTATTTTGCTTTTAATAATTAAAATTCCTTACATCGAAAAATATTGTAAGTTTACATTGTTATTTTGATTGGTTTTTAAAAGTTGAGTTATTTTTTTACTAGTGTATTATGTTATTTTTTCTTAGTTCTTGGGTTTTGTTGAGTTTTTTAATATTTTTTTTTTACATTTTTTGTGTCATGGGTCTTACTTATACTGGTCATTATTTTTATAATATGCGCATAAAAACAGTGGCCTAAGTTGCCTCATTCCCTGCCTTATGTAAATTAGTGTTGACTCTTTTTGACTCCTGATCTTTCCATCAATAATGTTTTTAAAAAATTGATTTTCACTTGTATGAAATCAATTGTTTCCTTTACTTTCAATTTTTTCTTTATCACTATTTGGTATTAAGTATAATTTTAGAAGGATCTTCAGTTTTTTTAGTAATAAATTTACTTCATTTGGAGGAGTTAAAACTTCATGATTATTTTTTAAAAAAAGTTATGTTTGTTAAAAGAACTATTAATCAATGATAAGTTCAGAATTGTAACAGAAATCTATCCAAATCTTCAACTTTATACAATAACCTTTCGTATGAATTTTCATTAATATAAATTAATTTTATTTTTTTATAGATCAGAAATGCTGATTGTTTTATTTAATTTATTCATCTAGTAATTAGAGATGAATTGATACCTCTAACAATTAGAGATAATTGTTGATTATTGTCAGCACCTATTATAATGTGATTAATATCAGTTACTTCTAATATGACTAACATGAAATAAATTTCAAAACTGTGACTATGCAGTGTTACAAAATACCAAAACATTAGAGAACTGTAAACAGCATAGTGAAATTAAATTATCTGTGTATAGATAGGTAGCTAGAAGTTTGTTTTACATATGTAATACATTATATTATTTTTGATATTACATAACAAAGTTTTGACAATGAACTTCTGTTTGTCGGAATCAGCTATTGAAGTTACTTAAAAAATATTTTCACAAAAAATTAAAAACAAAAATGGTTTAAACAGAGAATAAAATGAAGTGTCTTTTGTTTCATATGCTTTATGTTTATGATTGATTTCAAAATAAAGTTAATTTTTCTAAACACATTATACACTACTAAGTAAATTTTTATATTATATCATGTATTATATAGGGTTATGTAGTATATAATGTAATTAGCATTTGCAACTGTATACCAACTGCACATTCTGCAACATATATTCTACTACATATTCATTGTCCTTCCTTGTACTCTACAACAATATGCCTAAAATATTTATCTCAAAACTACAAATGTGATGAATTAAAACACCTTAAGGAATGCAACAAAGAGCCTGAGTATGAGGACAAAGGAATATATAGCTTTTCCTGTATCCCAGTGTCCTTCATGGTTGAACTCTCAAATAATTAAATAATAATTTTCATTGTAAAAGTTATCTTAGATTAATTAAATTTTTATTGGTCATAAAATTACAGTTACATTTTATACTATTTAGGATGGAAAGAGATGATGAAATATTTAACAAAGAATCAATGGTTCTCCTATTTCAGGAATTCAACTGTTATCCCATGATAATTCTGTTTTGCCTCTCTCCCCCTTCTTTTAGTTTAACATTTTTAAAGTTATATGTTCTACAATTAGCTTGATGTTTCCAGAAAGTTCTGCATTGTTTTTTTAATTGTACTAGAATTTTTTTCTGTATACCTTTGACCTAATTAAAGATGTGAAATCACTATCTAATAATGTTACAGTTCTTTGAAATTCCTTTCTTTTGTTGTTTTTTTTGCCCTAGAATATTATAAAGTTTTATGAACTGTTTAATATTTATCAACATAATCATTTATTAACGCAGGGGTTCTGGAACTGGGTGACATGGCGTCCCGAGGGCCGCGGTAGTAATATTTAATTTATTTTTTTTATTTAGGATTTCTCCGTCAAATATTTAATATTTAAAATCAGAATCGTCAATAAGGTGACCTAGAATTTTAAAAATTCGAATTTAAAATAAATTCAATCAAATTTAAGAAAATATCCGTGAAAAGTTCTGTATGGTTTATATGAAATGAGTAAATATTCAATTATATTGTTGCTTTTAGGAGAAACGTGCTAAATGATTTTTTTTTTTTTTTTTTAGTCTTACACGGGTTTCTCAGCAATAAAATACTTTAATACGAATGTCACAAGACATATTAGAACGCGCTATTTTTCCGTTTGTGTGAACTTATTTTCTATTTTTTAATTTATAAAGACACTAGAAAAAAGTTTATTTTTTCATCGCCTATGTTTAGTACTCCTTGAGATAAATAAAGTTAGCATATATGCAAATATATTATCTTCAATAGATTTGTACTTATATCAGAAAAAAAAAGTATTGATTTTTATTCTCTTAAACGTGCGGCGATTGCAAGAGTTTTAATAATTGACGATTTTATTCTTCTAAGTTATAGAAAATACAGTTTTTTGTTTTGAAAATTTTTAAGATGTTCGACGCAAAAATCTCTTAAATACCTTTATTGTTTCTCAACTGCTTTATACTAAACTATAAGGAACTTTGTCGAACTTAACTTTGAAGTTTTAATATAATAGTAAATAGTAAATCAGAATAATTTTATAAAACAACAAAATGCTCGTGATAAAAATATAAACGTTTAAAATTTTACTTTCTTATCTATTATTCTTAGGAACTTATTTTGTAGAACTTTTTATGAAAGTCAGTGTTGTTTTTAACCCTTTGCACTTTGCACCGTTTCGGACGTTACTTACGAGCAACTCGATCTTTTTGGTCATAATTCTGTAACTTGCGTTATTTTGTATCAGATTTTCTTGTTTCTTTGTTTTATAGCATCATTGTCTGACTATACTCCATTGTCTGTGCCATGAATATAAATATTATCAGGAATAATATATGAAAATTCAAAAATAAATGACACTATGGTAGATAACGTGAGAAATCTTATAAAATTCAATGATTTTTTTTTCGAGCAAGAGAAATTCTTACTTTAGCTCCTAAAGAGATTTTATATATAATATACGTAAAATAAGATATTATAACTTATGATTTTTTTAATCTTGATAAATTAAAAAATAAAATTGTTTGTGCTATTTATTAAGTGCACGTTTATTTAAAAATTCTGGTGAAATAAATTCATTCTCCGTATTCGCTAATAACCTTTCATGTTTCCTCACAGGGGACATCCGATTGTAAATAGTCAAATATTAATTAGTTTTTAAAAAATATCGAAAAAACACGTTAAAATAGATGATCGTAGGTAAAAATGGTTGATGTTTATCACTTCAAATAAATAACTCCTCTAGAAACTCTTTATTTGAATTATTCTCTTTCTTCCTCATTCTCCCTGCGTGCCGGGGGCATGCATGTATTCAATTTTTATAAATATGTTTTATTTTTACTAAAGTATTATTTTTTATTTTTATTTTTATACTACCTGGTACTGTTTGCATGCGATAACCGTGAATTATTTACGTAATCTCTGTTACAATGGAAAGTGTAGTCTTTTTTTTTTTTTAAACCTGTGAAAACCAAGTCATAACGGAACGCACTTTCCTTTCTCATATATATATATTTTTTTTTTTAAATATATTTGTATAAAAATGAAATCAAGATCTATTTATTACAATGTCGGTCATTATTTATACTATTAACGCATAGCTGACCATTACATAATTCTTTTTTATTTTTTTTATATCTCTACCTTATTAATTCATGTAATTAGATGAATAATTAGTAATTTAATGTTTAGTTTTTATTAAAATATGGATTTATTTATTTTTCTGTAATGTTGTGGATGTGCGAAAAACAAAATCTGTTTAGAATATATTTTATCTGTTTAGAATAAAGTAATTATATATTAATAGTAATACAGTAGTGTTTTTTTTTTA